ATATAAGTATTATCTATTATTAATTTCTATTTATTATATTATTAATTTTATATAATATTAATTTATTATTTAAAGATTCTGTATTTGTTTTATAATTTTAAGTATCAATAATATTGAATAAAGAATAAGTTTAAAATATAATTTCTTGTCTGCTTTTGATTTAGTTTTCTATATGAATTCTATCTCAAATATAACATTATATCCTGACTTTTTTGTATGAATTATCCAGATATATTACACTATATAACTAGAAGATTATATATATAATATATGTCAGATAACTATTACATAATTAATTAATTGAGAATCAGCTTGGATATAACTTTTATATCAGATCTACAAATGATAATACATAATAGAATACATCATTAGGCATATACTATTTTTTTGTATCATGATTTTAATTAATAATAACTCAATAAGAATTAATACTAAGATATCAATCAAGCTATCATTATATAATTTTTGACTTGTTTTTTTAATTAATATTAGAAAGATTATAGTAAAAAATCACTTTCTGATATGCAAAATATATGTAAACAGTAAATATCTATTGATAAGACAAATAAAAATTAATCATCATTTAAGTAATGTGAAAAAAATAAATTATATATCAAGTTATAGTACTTTATACCTATTTTTAATACATATCTCAGCTTGCTTGAGTAACTTGAGTTTTGTAATCTGTATATCAATCTTGATATATAGTAGCTTACTTAAGAAATAGAATACAAAAAATTTTATGAAAAAAAAATTCTAGTGATTCTAATAGCAATTTAGAATACCTAGTTCTTATACTTATTTTAAAGCTAATAATCTAGAAAATATTTTAAAAATCCTAAAAATTATATTAAAATTTTACTAATTAAAAATATTCATATAGATTATTTAATTTTTTTAGAATAATAATATTAATTCTAAATAGTTTTATTATCAGAAAGGATTGATATAGATTAATCTAATAAAAGATATATTTCTTAGAGAAAACTATCCATATATCAATTTTTAGCTAAATTGATATCAAATTCATGATATTATTTATTAGTTAAATACTAATAGAAAAAATTATTAAATTATTTTATTAGTATTTATCTGATATTTTAGGAGTAAATAACTTCATAAATTTGATACTAATTTAGCTAAAAATTGATATATAGATAGTTCTTTCTAAGAAATATATTTTTTATTAGATTAATTTACATTAATCCTCTCTGATAACAAAACTATTTAGAATTAAAATTTTACTAATTAAAATATTCATATAAATTATTCAATTTCTTTAGAATAGCAGTATTAATATAATTTTTAGGATTTTTAAAATATTTTCTAGGTTATTAGCTTTAAAATAAATATAAAAATTAGATATTCTGAATTAATATTAGAGTTACTAGAATTTCTTTTCATAAAATTTTTCATATTCTATTTCTTAAATAAGCTACTATATACCTAACTCAAGTAATTTGAGATTTGTAAACTACTAATCACTTAAATAACTTGATCACTAATTACTTGAATGACTTGAATTTTGTAATTTATATATCATAAATATAAGAAAATAATCTAAACTAAATAAGTATAATATAATTATGTTATATTCACTAAAATATTTATTAATAAAATTATAAAGTTTAATATAAAGAAAAACTTTTAATAATTTAATTTTCTAATATATTATTCTTGATTATTATTATATATAAAATAAAGTTATTCAAAAAATAATAAAATATTAAAATATATAAAATATTTAATTTTATTAATTTTATTCTTTATATTTTTATTTTAAAATTATTAAAATAACTTGATTAAATATAATAATTATTATAAAATTAAAAAATTAATTTATTAATAAAATTTAATAAAAATTAAAATTTTTTTCTATTAAAATTTATAATTTATTAAAAAATAATTTTATTTTATAATAAAATAAAATTTAATATATATTTTTTCTTAAAATTTTTCTAATTACAATATTATTATTATAAAAATTTTTCTAATTAAATTTCATTTTTAATTAGAAAAATTTTTTAATAATAATATTGTAATTAAAAAAATTTTAAGAAAAAATATATAGAATTTACCAAATATAATATATTAGAGAATATAAATTTATTAATAAACTAATAATAAAATTGAAATTTTCTTTCTATATTAAAATTTTATAATTTTATTAAAAAATAGTTTTTAATTTTATATTAAAATAAAGTTTATAAGTTATAATTTAATATATATTTTTTCAGATTTTTTAATTTTTTCTGAAAGTTATTTTAATTACAAAATTGATACAAAAAATTTTTTTAATTAAAAATAAATTTAATTAGAAAAAAATTTTGTATCAACTTTGTAATTAGAATAATTCTTTCAGAAAAAATCTAAAAAAAATATATGTTAAACTATAACTTATGAACTTTATTTTAATATAAAAACAAAAATTATTTCTTAATAAAATTATGAACTTTAATATAAAGAGAAATTTCAATTTTGACTATATTTTATTAATAGATTTGACATCCTAATATATAACATTTGACAACCACTATATATAAATTATATATTATAAATTTTATTTTAATATAAAATAAAAATTATTTTTTAATAAAATTATAAACTTTAAAGTATTTCAATTTTTATTATATTTATTAATAAAATTGATTTCCTGATTTTTATAATTATGAAAGCCATTATATATTAATTACTTTATATATTCTGACATTACAATTATTAAAAATATGTATTAAAAATAAAATATTATTAATAAAATTAAAAACTTAAATATAAATACATAAGTGGCTGGATGCTTTCGATTAACCATCATATTATATCCGGATTAAACGAAGGAGGCCGGATTTATTATATTCAGATCAATCGAAGGAAACCGAATTTATTAAGTTCGGGATTAAATCCAGTTCCGAATCCTAGCAATAAATCAAATGTGAAGGCTATACTAAAAGCCTTTCTTTGGCCCTGGTTTTTTACCAGTTACCTCAACATTTTTATTAAACTTATTGGTAAATCTTATTATGTTTTTGTTCGGCAATCTGCCCCAACAAAGTCCAAGCATGGCGTTCATTTTTTGGTAATTCTTTCCAGCTTAAAGAGGCCCTAGCTGATGTTGTTACTGCTGATAGATTTTGTTGATATTGGCCTTCCAAAGCTTGGAAATTTTTATGATACAGAATCCATGCGTTCGGCGGGCGTGATGGCGTTTGCCCTTCTTTTAAATTCGTGGTTCAATAAGACTATCAATGCTTAGTGTGAGGTGTGGTTCAATGAGTTCGATATATTGTTTTATGGAGGGGTCGTCGATTTCAAATGGAATTTTCTTTTAAGATGGTTGTCATTATTTGTTTTGTGTTTGGGGCGACGAGAGATTGCGAGTGATTGAGCAAAAGCATTTCTGACTCTCTTTTTAAATTGTAAACCTGTTAAAAAAGTTTTTATAATCGGAAAAATTAATAATAAGGGCCAACTATCCTATTGGCTCACCATCTGCCCTAAAAATTTCACACGTTAATAATTCAGTCCGCTTTGATTTTTTCCTAATTTTGGCTAGAGGTGACTGGTTTTTTTTTTCACAGAATGTTCCTTCGAGAAGAGCAAAGACAAACAAACGTCAAAAATCAAGAAGCAGAGATTCAACAATGACTTTTCAGACTTGCTGTTTTATACTCGTGTTGATGTAAATCGATACCATTATTATTGAATGAATGAAAATCAAAATAAACAAATAAGATATTTTCAAAATTGACAGGAAATCGTAATACACATTCTATCTTTTAAATGTCATTATCGATATCTTTACAGGATTTCGATAAATTTAACAATTATCTTCTTGTCCTGCTTACGAAATTTCCCATGGACTTTACGGAAATAACCAGTATTATGATCATAGAACTTTCTATAACACTAACTCATTTAACCGAACTTACTAATAAAAGTGATTTATATATTTGTCTATATATATATATATATATATGACTAGAATTATACTTTAGAAAAGTAAATTAGTAAAATGCTTCAATAAACGCAACATAAAAATATTAAGGAAGACAGGAACTGTTTGCTAACTATTGAGCAATTTCTTAATGCTATGATTGGTGTAAAACATAAATTCACGAAAAAAGCCTAACGTGCTAACTAGATCTTTTCATCGATTTCTTTGAGAAATCAACTTGTAGCTTTAATAACAGGTTTTTTACAATTCGTGGCACCAATACTCCAACAACGAATAGATTTTATCAAACATCATCGTTAGAGAATGTATGGAATTTCAGATCGACAAAAAGAATTAAGAACATCGACGACGAAGCCAGATAAATATATATATATATACTCGTTTCACTTTCTTCGTAATCAGGACAATTCATTAATTAAAGTAGGTAATACTCGTACTTGTGCTTTCTTGAATGCCTGCTCATTTCAATTAAAGAGAGTAATTACTCTTCTTTGAAGAAAATTCCTTGTCACACCAACGAAGCATTCTTGGTAATAATAATTATATCGATATATAATATAATTAATCTAAGCTAAAACTACTGTAAGGTAAAAATGGAACATGTATTAAATTATGATAACAATACGATAAGGGTATTCATCTATATCTATTTATATATGTTTACATACATTTATTTTTTGACTATACAACACTTCCTAGTACCTTTTCAGAAGCGTCTGTTGTTAAAGAGTCGACATTATTGGCAGGCCCATTTGTTGTTAAAGAATTTTCATCATCATTGGCTAGCGGTTGTTGTGAGGAAGCGCTACCAGAAAATTTTTCGATACCAATTACCAAAATTTCCGCAAATATTCGACCAGATTCAAGGATAAAAATCTCCTGAAATAAGTAAAAAATAGAATTTTAGAAATATAGAATGAGGATAAAAAAATTGTAAATTTGATTCGTTTTACGCTTTACCTGTAATTCCGATGGATGATTTTCCTGAATCTCCAAATACTCGTGAGATTCAAGTAATCGCCAATTTATTTGTCGTCGATTATCGAGTTGGTTAAAGGCTTTTAATGTACGTTTGATTGTCTCGCGTAGCTAACACAAGAATAAAGAAGATCAAAATTGTCATTTTCCAAAGATGGAATAATTAAATATGAAACACCGTAAATAATAAAAAGACACATACCGTCTTCTCTCCTTGTACAATAGTCCAGGACAACATCAACCCAGCCAAAAAAATAAATGCAACAGCCCATAAAGTCAAGCTTTTCAAAGACATTACACATGTGACGGGGTTGAAACAATAATTATAACCATCATTTGGTTCATCTGTTGACTCTAACGTTGTTGAACTTTCTGACGTGATTTCTGCTTGGTTTGTTTCTTTAGAAAAATACATCCATAACGGTGTGCCGAGTGCTAGTATAAATGCCGGTGTGATGATCAATGCGAGAAGACATTTGTATTTGTTGTATCGTGCACGATGCGTTTCCGTTACGGAGTCTAGAATGCCGATGCGAGTGTTTAGAAAAGTTACCTTTTCGGAAAACTGTGAATTGTATTTTTCATATTTTAATAAAATTCATTTCACGATATTTATAATAATAGAAGTGCGTGATTGCTTACGCTATCATAGTAGTCTAGTGCAGACCCATTTAACTCGTCTGTATTATTGGTCAATGAAATCCTTGAGCATTTCATTATTGAATAGATAAAAAACGTTTTATGTGGAAAGCGATTTTATTTTAGACACTCAGAGATAAGAATATGAATAAGATGGTGTAATAGTGGCTCTGGTGAATTTGTATTTCTTTAAATAACAACGATAGGGAAAAACTAGTGTTTGACAATAAACCAAAAATGAAAACCGTGCCGATAAAAAATCAATGGGAAAAAGAAATCCCAAAAAAAAATAAATTAATCCGCAAATAGTAACGGTAAAGAATAAAGAAAATGATTGGCAAAGATAATGAGAGAAGAGTAAAATGGACGTTAAGGGTCGTTATTTTTATTGTCTTAGTCGTGTCGATTGATCAATATTAGTAGCTGCTTTTTTCCCTTTTGATAAATGAGAACCTGGAAAAAATCTCCTAGTGAATTTTGGAAGTTATCATCAGTGCGTAGTAACTTTTTATGTCTGATATCAAATTTATTGGGGACAAACCTTCAGTATATATTTGTAAATAGGTTAGTTTTTCCTGTGTGATTGTGTGTGTTTTGTGTAAATGAAAGAATTTATTTGTTTGTCAATCCTTTTTGTGAGATGATTGAATGATTATTTATCGAAAAATGGGTTTCCAGATTTAGTCTCTGGTTTTTTTTTTTACCTCTTCGATTCTTATATTCTTTGGATCGGAGAGAGAAGAGATTTTGTTTGCAATTATTGCTTCTATTTATTTGTGTCGCAAAGTATATTTGTTAATTTGTGTAAGAAATCAAAGAAGACGAAGACAGACACGGAGAGAATAAATATTTTTGTTATATTAAGAAGGAAGGGAAAAATTTACCAATAAGATTACATTCACGCAATATTGCATGTTACATACAACACACACGCACACGCACACGCACACACACACACATACACAAAATAAATTATATGAATTTGTGTGCATCAATATGGTTACGTAACTCGTATATTGTTGCCATCAGCGGATCTTTCCTCAAAAAACCAGAAAAGGCGAAGAAATTATTAATTTTATTTGTATTGCAAACATTTTTACTCAATTAGTAAACAATAAGGTGTCTTGATTCGATGGCAAGTGACATCCACGTCCGTCTATGACGAATCATAGCCAATGACAGGGTTGCGTATATATATATATATATATACCGGTGAAATATATTTAAGGAAAACTATTCCCTTGTTCGCGATGTTATCGATTAGAGTTGAATTGTTCGATCCAAAAACTTTGAACAACATCTAGATTCTTCTTGTCTGGAAAGTGTGACATTCATTCATTTATACTAGAAGATCGTTGTTAAATTTGCATAGTGTAAAGGACGCCACATACAAAGTAGGATATACCACAAGGATCCAGTTTTGTTCTATTTCTTGTTTATGACATTCGAACAAAAAATCAAGTTTGTTATTGCGTGTAAGTCAGCTTGGGGGTGCATGTAAAATATGACTTTGGTGTATGGCAATTTCTACCCTAAAAGTCATGTTGACATACACCCCCTTGATTTTTACCACACAATACCATCAGACTTGACAGTAAGTAGGTATAAGGAGGTAAGTGTTCTTTCGATCAGAACCTTTTCATTGTATTACTATGGTTAGATCTCTTTTTTAATTTAAGTTAAAAATAGAAAAACTAACACAATTGCTTGTGTCAAAGGGCTAAAATCACTCCAAGTTCATGTGATAACAATGTTGCAAATGCATTCGATCAAATTAATAATTAATTGCATCAAAATATCTAATTTATTAGTTTGATTTGACCTATTGTATCATACAGTAATTAGATTTTCCTTTGATTGTTTTGTTTGTTTTAAAATATCTTTTCAACAACAACAGCAACTCTTTTAACAAACAAAAAATATTGTAATAATAGGAAAAAAGTAATTAGAACAACCATTATTGAGTGGTTGTCATTGAAATTGCTTTTTTTATTAAACAATTATATATAGATGATACAATAAAAATAAATTTTGTTCTTGAAAAATTACAAAATCGATTTTAACAAGTACCTTAAAAGCTAATACTCTGAATTTTCTTACCCAATCATGAGATTGAATTACGATTTGGCATAGAGACAAAAGTCTTTGATGATGTATGTCATATTTGTTTATAATGCACATAAAATTGTACGTTCCAAATTTGACTGTGTGCATTTATACACACAAATTTGACTTGTAAAAGAACTCTTGGAACATACGTATGTATGCGCATGCAATGTGAATTATGATACCTTCCACGTATTTAACGATTCTTTGGATATACGTACTTACTTTGAAAGGCTGTCAATTTTGACAACAACACACACACACACACACATATATCTAAATAAGATAAACCGGATGTTGTTGCTCTTTCCTCAAACGTTGAATTTTCAGAAATACGCTCATTCATTATTAAAAACGGCTGGTTGTTTTAGTTAGGGGACAGACATATATCACGTAATTATTGAAAGGGGGGGGGGGGAGAGGGGAGGTCAGTTCTATAGTAACTACATATTACGTGATATATGTCTGTCCCCTTACTTGATGTATAAATTATTCATCAAAGAATTTGGACACTTTAATAATAACAGCAAGTTTTGTTATCTAGTTAGAAATATATTTCTTATGGGGGAGGTTAGTATTTTCGTTAAAGTAAAAAAAAAAATCAATACCATGATTGATTCCATCATAAAGCGAGTGCCCAAAGTGAATATTCAGAAAATTGGATAAAAAAATTTTCATAAAAAAAATTGATCGTTATATTTCCAATTGAACATAACCCAATATGTGTTTCAATACATTTTCTCTTCAATCCTAATTTTATACTTCAAGATTATCATGTATCTGAGAAAAGAAAAAGAACAATGTTAAGAATATGAACGCATGTAATGAGAAATACATAATAGGATTACATGTATTTGGTTTTAAGGATAAAGAATTTCAAACATTCAATGTAGTAAAAACAAAAAACCTTTTTTATAGGGTATACAATAATAACGATAACAATGATAATAATAATAATAGTAATAAAAATAAATACGCTGAATTTAATAAAAGAGTAACAAACAGCAGCAGCAACTACTGACGCCCTAATACTTTTGATTGTCTTTTTTGGGACAGAGAATTTTTTGGTCGGTTACAACGTGTGTCATACCCGACAACAGAGTGACAAATAAGAAACCGGCAATATTCCAATACGTATGTTCGCCTCGCCCGTTTTTATATACATGTACTCGCTTTTACTCACATACATCACGTATAGAAAATATACATGTGGACATTTCCTAATGTCAGCAACATTCAACTTTTCTTTTTCCTTTGAATCATTTATTGCTGGCTGGTCTAGCACTCATATAAGCTCTATACACCGATTGTGTTGATTTTTATGCTGTTTGTTATTACTGTGGGAATTTTTTCTGTTTTGAAGATTATATTTTTATTTTTCCTTCTTCCTTTTATAATTTTTTTGTTTTGTATATATGTATTTGTGTGCGACTTAATTTTATTCAATTTTTTTACTATTAGTGTTTAGCATTTGTAAAAGTAGACTATTAACTTTTTTCTCTTTTTCCCCGCTTCTCTTTCCCCGCTTCTCTTTCCCCCTTCTTTCTCACCAAAGAAAAATCATTATCACGTTTATTTTTTTCTCTTAATAATAATTAATTAATAACAATCGAAAAGTTTACTCAATCAGAAATGTTGCTACAGAAAACTTTGAAGTTGATCCTTTGGGTTTCGTTTACGATCATTCTTCTAGGTAAGTGGAGAAAAAAATAAAAATATCCAATGTAATAATATTTTATAATTTTGTTAATTATTTTTTATGTTCTTTTCAGAATATTTTATAGCAGCATCAGCAGATAGTAATGGAAGCACATCATCGCCAATACATCCGATAGGTGTAAATCGACCACCAACATCAATACCATCAATAACAACAACAGCAACAGCAACAGCAACAACAATATTGACAACAGCCGCAACAAAAAGTAATCCATCTGCAACAATTCCAACGATATCGATATCATCATCATCATCATCATCATCATCAAATGCTGCAATAATATCACAATCAATAACAACAATAGCCACCACGACAACCGATAGTAATAGTATAACTCAATCGTTTATCCCAACGGGGAACCAAAGTTCTACGCAGACAGATTTATCAAGCTCCGATCTGCATATACCAACTATTGCACCAATTATCGTGACTACGAGTGTCGCTTTTCTGGTGTTGGTAACTTTGATTGCTACTATTTTCATGACTAAACGGAATGAACAGAAAGTTGATGATTCTGCTAATTCGGCGTAGATATCTAATTCCCTTTTGATTATCACTACATGTATTTACCCATCTATGGATAAAATTCTTACATACAATAAATCATTGGACATTCTTTGTTAGCCATATACGTGCTTAATAAAATTCAAATTGATAATTTGATTTCATAATCAAAATTTTTGTTCATTCTTGGAATTTTCAATGTATAAACAGATGTATTGTCTTATATTAAATCATATATTTAATCCTGACTTGATTGTATTTTAATTGCTATAAAATAATTATTTGAGTTGATTTTTTTATTTTAATTGATATATTTATGTAAAATATTATAATTCAATAACAAAGCAATCATAGAAAAATTAAGTTATAAGTTATTAATTTTTGGTCAGAGTTACAAATGTCTTTATATCTTAAACAAATAAATAAATTTATATAATATTTAAAGAACAATTTATAATTATTTCTTCTTATAAAATTATATTGTTTTGAATACTAAATATAATTGAATCGTTTTATGATCACTTTTTTATAGTCATATCTTTTCTATCATTCTTATCTGAATTAGAAGAAAATCATCTTTTATTTTCTTTGCTTGAATCTAATAATATGATTATAAAAAGAGTTAATTTATTAAATAAAGATTCGTTATATAAATATATTTATTTTAAAAAAGTATAATATTATAATTAATATGTAAGATTATAAATATAAAAAATGTTCTTTTGTTTTATTATTCTTAAGTTTATTCTCTTTTCAAAATAAAATTATAGAATATTTTTTTTATAATTTCACGCAATGAGCAGTTACTTTGCATTTTCTCTTGCATTTTTTCAAAAACATATATGGTAAGAAATTTCTTCAACTTAAATTTAGAAAATCTGATAGAACTGGTTGTATCTTTCATTTCTATTATATCCCTTCTTTTTATATTCTTTCCACTTCCAAATTCTTATAAATTTTGTCATTAAAAAAATTTACAACACGGGATTCTCTCCGATTTATAATGTTATTTAACTAATAGGATTTTTCTTCAATTTAGAGAGTCTATTATATGTTCTAAGCATACCGTGATTGCTCAAATATGACGAAAATTGGTTCGAGTATCAAGCCATTATATTTTTAATATATGTGTTCTTCAAAATTCTTTCATTCGTTATAAAGAGGATCGGAACCGCTATAAAGAGGTTTGACCGTAGTGAAAATCTAGGTATATAAAATAATTGACTTGAATTAAGCAATAATTATACACCTATTCAAATTCATCTTTTTTCGTTATTTGGTAATTATCATACTATGCTACAAGAATGGGAATTTGAAAGCTTAGGAATGCGATATTGGTATGAATTCAGAATTCACGAAAAAATTTTCATAGAGTGAAATTCCAAAAAGGAAACGGAAAAAGACCCAATTAACCGAATTCGTCTTATTCATTCATTCACTATCGTTATATTTTTTCCAGGGTTGGATTCTTTTTTTTCCGTGTTTATAAATAACAATTTTATATGTACATGTTTTCTCACACCAATCATACTCTGCATATACAACATAATAAAAGCGCATTTATAATCATAATAATAATATATATTGTTAGAATGATCGTCATTCAATTATAATAGACTTGGCATTTACTTATCATTGTTTGTATGTAGGTTAACACTGCCGAACTAACTCTTGACGATCTTTCTTTCTCTTACGTAATTATTGGGGATATTTTTATCAAGGGCTTCTATTATGGATGTTTGTAGTTGCGTATTATTTACGCATTATCAGTGATCGATGATTTTTTTGATGCCCACTCTCACGAGCATAAAAAGGGTACCGGTAATACAAGAAATGTATTAAATAGTGGCACGCTGCTTGCTTATCGTGTGGTGCTTTATTTTTTGTTTTTTAAATCTTTACTAATAATAATAATAATATTTAATTGTAAATAATAATAAATAAATCTCTCTTATAGAAATAAATACAAGTTGAATTGAATTCATCATTTCCCTTTTTTTTTTAACGTTAATTTTTGCTTAATTACGACATTTTTGGATACGAAAAATTTATTATTGGCAGAGCGAGGATACGTCGTAGCAATAAAAGGAGACGAGAACTATTTTTAGAGATCATTATCCCCTATACAACCATTTAAAAGACATTTTTCACTGTAAAACAAAAGTAGAATAGAATTCAGCATAATGAAACAAGTAAAGATACCTTTACGTCATGGAAAAATACAACAATTGGCATATCCGTGGGAAGTTCTAACAGGCTACGTAAGTATTTGATTAATTGACTTCTATTTACTTTTCATATATTGTTCTAACTATTATGATTGTTACGAAAAGCTTCCACCACATATATTCGCACATCGACTTAAACACCTAAACGACGTGCTCAAACATTCCACTTCACAGTTTCTCAATCAAAAATACTACTCATCCTCAATCAACAGTTCAAAATTTCTATTCACCACGACGACGGCGACGAAAACAGCGCTAATATCAAAATGTAGTCCATTTCTTCTTCCGATCTTACTCACAGCATTCTCCTTACTCATGATTTTTCCTTACTTCATACGAAACATGCAATACTTGAAGAAAGAATGGGATGTCGTTGGATTGGAAAACATGAAGAGGAGAAATGATTTTACAAGAGTTCAGGACGCGGTGCTTGCTTGGGTGATTGGAATGTTGGTGGTGTTGTTGATTTTGAGTCTTTTTTGGATTAGAGGATGGAGTATCTGGCAAAAGAAAAAGGTAGGAATATCTAGTTATAATATCAACTTTATACACTGTTATTAAGTGGTAGGTGTTCTGATAGCATTTACTATTATTTTTCTTAGATTTCAGCAATTATTAATAATCAACTAGCGGTATATAATCGACATGATAATACGTACGGAATCAATTGGAAATTCATAACTGAATACAATGAGGTATATATTCTAAATATCACGAAAATTTGGTTCTTCACGAATAGAAAGTTTTTAATTTAAATTATTTTTTGTTAAAGGATTTCGTCATTATTGAACAATTGAAATTTGCAACCGAAATAAAATCACAGCGGAAATTGAGCACCATTTCAGAAAAATCTCATCTTTCTATGAAACCAGCACTTCGTACAGCCACAGCACCAAATAACGGTATTCAAAATCATATTGGTAATAATCATAGTAGTAATAGTAGTAGTATTAATATCGATGGAGGTGGTATATTGAGTGGTGGATGTACCGATGAGAAACGCGTCACTTTGGTATATCAGAAATTTGTTTAACGATTCTCCTCTCTTTTAAAGATAAGAGGTGCAAGAATAATGATTATTAAAATTAACAACAATTAATAAATGTCAAGTATTTTATCATTTCCCGAAATGGCAAAAAAATTCAACTGTTTTTATTATCATATTAAGCCATCGGTCAATAACGAAAACGGTAAGCAAACAAATCTAAAATTTGAAATTTCGCAAAAAATCATAAACTAAATCATTATTCGTCTGCTTGATTTTTTCTTCTATAATTTACAAAGAAATAAAACTAAACTCTAGTAATAGTTTATTTAAAACATCATTCCATTCTAAAAGGTCAATTCTCCTCTTGTTGATAATAAACCGAGGTTCAAGAAATATTCATTTTAAAATAAGTGAACCATGTGGAGTTTATCACTCAATTTTTCTATCAGGAGATTATTTGATCTACCGATTTTCCGTACCACTTCAAATTTTTCGTGCGTGAGCAGCGAAACAAAAAAGCATCAACAGAAAGATGAATGGAAAACCTCATTAAATTTGCCTTTGTCAACAAGACATAGGAGGTGAAAATTTGATCAATTAGGAATGGGTAATTTAAAATTATTTTGTCGGTAAAGGGAATACTTATGTTGCATTTGACCTTTGCATATTTTCGCAATTACACAAGATGGTACATCTATGCTGCCGGCAAATATTGCTTGTCAAATTTTTCATTATATGATGAGAAAAATCCGGTTGTTTCAAGGTCACGTTGTACCGGTCACAATAAATGGCCGTGTATATCAGATATACCGTAACTTGTGACCTTAACCAGGAGTATTATTACGAATATTACGTCAATTATGCAATCTTACACCCCCACTGTGCTATGCACACTTGTATTAAAATTATCTCCATATAAACCATACAACAGACCCCGGCTCTACACCATGTTAAATGTAACAGACCCAGGGTGGTTTATGCCAAGAATTATGGTACATAGGATTCTTCCCTCACAGTTAGGCCAGAAATTTAGTCCTTTTAAAGGGTTTATTCTTATAATAAGGTGGTGATTTTTAATATATCAATGTCCTCTTCTTATAGAGAGGTTATTCTTATATACTGTGTTCTTAATCCTTTTTCTGTAAGTGCTTCCAGGCAGGAATTTTTTTAAATTCGTTAATGAATTTATATTTTAAATTATTAGTTTAATAATTAATTTTTTGTGATTTTAATTAACTAGCTGTGTTTGAAAAAGATGCATAATTAATAGGACAATGTTAATCACGTTCTAAACCAGTTCGCATACTCGTAGAAAACGGTTAGGCATATACGATAAACTGAGTCCGACGGAAATTTGAACTTTTGCGGTTCATAATTACGCAGTGGCCGAGGCTGTTCGTGGATCGATAGAGTAAGCCGATAACTGGGAATATAACTATCTGGCCACGGGTCTCTATCGTATTCTGATGAATAATTGTTTGACCTGTCTAAAAAAAGAATTGGAACAGACAAGATAAAAATATGAAAGTAATTTATATTTTATCAATAAACCTTGTCATTGGAAACACAATATTTATTTAATTTATTCAGCTCCTTTAAAAAATTAAAGTACATTTTTTGAAAGCAATGATATTTTTAATTTACTGTATTTAAATCTAGCAAATTACGAAGTGACTTTTCCCATACTCAAATGGATGTTTATTAATATTCGGCTTCAACTATTGCTGCCATACCCATACCAGTTCCAACGCACATGGATGTAAGACCAACACGTTGTTTCTATAGAAAGTAAACGAAAAAAAAGTTGTGGGTTCGTCGATTAATAAACAACAAAAGAATAAATTCATCGAATAATTCGATAATTACCCTATGTTTCAGAATATTTAAAATTGTTGCGATTTGTCTGGCTCCAGTTGCACCGAGTGGATGGCCAAGCGCTATTGCGCCTCCGTTTATGTTAACTTTTTTTGGATCTATACCTAATTTCTCAATACTATATACAATTTGGGAGGCAAAAGCTTCGTTGATCTCAAAGACATCAATATCATTAAGGCTAAGCCCAGCTAATTCAAGAACACGCGGGATAGCATATGCAGGCCCAATACCCATAATCTTTGGTGGAACGCCCACAACCGCTGCACGCACAAATTTACCAATGATTGGCAATTTGTGTTTTTCGGCAGTTTTACGTTTCATTAATAAAACAGCGGCGGCTCCATCAGAAACCTGAGAAGAACTTCCTGCCGTAGTGGTGCCATCTTCGGCAAAAGCCGGTTTTAATTTTGCAAGAACTTCGACAGTCGTGCCTTTTCGAATACCATCATCTTTATCTACAATTATTTCCTTTTCTTTATCGCTCTTTGGATCTTTCCATTGTGTTTTCACGGGAACAATTTCTTCCTTGAAAAGTCCGGCTTCTTGAGCTGCTGCTGCGCGTCGATGAGATTCGGCGGAGAAAGCATCTTGTTTCTCACGAGTTACACCGAATTCCCTTGCTACATTTTCAGAAGTGGTGCCCATAGGAAGCAAGCAATCGGCTGATTCAGGATTTGCAAATATTATTTCCGATGTTTCAGCTGGCATAGCACTAGCGCCATAACCAAAAGTCATACTCTCCACACCGGCACCTGGAAGAAGGTTATTTAGAGATGAAAATTCCAAATCAACGTATTGTTCAAGGACAAAGATGTAATGTTTATGAGTATAGTATGATTGAACAAAAAGATTAATATTAAATAATATGAATTAAATAATATTAAAACAGGGTTTCTCTTAGTATCGCATATCTTAAGTTCCATCAATCATACAACACCCAAAATTACAATACCTTGTTTATTATCAGTTCGAATCACACCCCCCACAAAGCATACTTACTAACCTATACCAATTTCAATCTGATCTACTGCAATTTCGTGGACTATCTGCACCACGGCCTGTAAACCTGACGAGCATTGTCTATTGACAGTATTTAAAGACGAAGTGTTCGGAATACCAGCGTATAAGGCAGCAGCACGTGCAACCGTGGCACCACCACCAGCCGGCAATACATTACCCACAGCGATGTCTTCAATGAGTTTCGGATCAATTTTCGAACGTTCCAGCAAACCTTTAAGCGCGGCAGCCAAAAGCTCTTCAGGAAGAGTGTCTTTGAATCCACCCTTTTTGGCTCTGGTAAGTGGTGTTCGTACCGCCGCAACGATAACTACGTCTTCGGGCGACTTAACACCCACTTTGGTGACGAATTTGTTATTTGAAGAGATAAGGTGGCCGGTAATTTGTTGAATACGTTCCATTTTTTGTTAAAATAGAATGGTAGTGATTTTTAGTGATTTTTAACAATTTTAAAAAATTTAGCCAAAGAATAAAAGATGACAAAATTATTTATACTAAATTATCCCCTTAGATTGATTAGATTTTATGTGAAACAACAGGACCTCAGATTGCATTTCGCGTAGTCATCATATTTATGTAATAGGATTTGCATGAGGAAAAATATTTTATTCAAATGTTACACATGTATATGATTTCTATTTATGCATTATTTAATTCTTTATCAATTCCATTCATCATCATCATCATCATCATTCTCGTTTTTTTCTTCATGATCATCTTCAATAGGAGACTTTGGGCGACGACTTTTTAGCTAGATAGAGAGTCAGATCAGAAATTTAATCAAAAAACAAATAATTTGCATGTAAAAAAATATCTTACCACTTCGGCAAGATTGACTGCAGCCGTACTACGCGATAAAGAATTTCTTTTCTGTATCGGCACAGATCTCGACGATTCATCATTGGATGATGATGCTGATGATACTTTTGGTAAAATTGTAGGTTTTGGTGCTACAACAGGAGCTTTTCGTGTAGCATTTGTGTTTTTTACAGGAGGTGGTATTTTACGGCCTGATGCTATTGTAGTAATGGCACTGCTGCTTTCTTCTGAAGATTGCTTCGCAGATTTTCTTGCTTCTAGTTCTAATTTCCACGCGGGTACACCACCACCAGCAGCAGTGGAACTTTGTGTTAATCCTGGCAATACTGAAATTCCTTTCTTCTCCTTAATAAGAGATTTTGGTTCTTCACGAGTATTATTATCGTCATCATTGTCGTCATCAACGATTTCTGGTGACGTGGCACGTGTATCTTCTGTTGGAGTGATTGGCGGAAGTGGGCGTCGTGACGGTAGGGTGGGAGGAGGTGGTGGAGTCTGTTCAACGATTTCTTCCAAATAATTACTGGGTACCCATCCTTGTTTACCGTCTTTTTTCGCTAGCCACCATCCATTATCATCTTTTTCAACTATCTGAAGAATATCATCTTTAACAAATGACAGTTCCCCAGAATCGGTGCTATTAAAGTCATAAATAGCTTTAAAAGTGGGGTGAGCAGGTTTTGGAGGGGGTGGCGGGGTTTTTGGGGGTGGAGGTGGCGGAAGTCTTCCAGGTGGAGATTGTACTTGAGAGTTGGGTGACTTAATATTAACAGAACTTCGAGTCGATGGACTACGAGCCGGTTTGACTGATTCGACAATGGATGGAGGTCTATTGATGGTAGGCGCTTTTGGTTTTGTAGGATTGCCCGCTGTCGGTTTTGTCACATTAGTTTTTATTGTCGATGTTGACGTTGTTGATATTGTTGATGCTGGTTTTCTTACAGGCTTTTTTGAGTTTGTTGAAGTTGAAGATGGATTGCTAGATTTTAATAATTTTCCGGATGTAATGGGTCGTGGGGGAGGATCTTTGCGTGGACACGGGGGGTCAGATAAACTATTTGGCGGTTCACCACTCGGCACCGAGACTGTATGGCTCTTATAAACATCGTCCTTTTTAATAGTCTCATCTTTGACGAACTTTATTTGCGCCGTCTTATTTAATTTTTTCGTAAACTCAATCTGATTTTCTATCTTAACCGTGATTCTCGCTTGCGCGGTTCGTTGTAAAAGATGCACCACAAATTCCGTCTTGAAATAACACGAGAATATCGGATCACCAAGCTCTTTTGTGGGATTGTTGAGGTGTAGTACTACCCAATCGTCGCGCAGATTAGAGAGACCGATACCTGTTATAGTGTTCAACGGTATCATTCTTTCAACGTTCATTTTGAGTAGCTGTTTTTCCAGAGTCGAGATTACTATGTATATGTTTTTTTCAGTCTTTTGTTGTAAATCAATTAAATTCAATTAGTCAATTATTAAGTTAAAATTTAGAGATGACGTATGAAAAATATCATTGACGTTACCAACCAATACAAGTTGTCGAGGACTTGGTTTACTGGAACGACCAAGACGTGACACTAAAAGTTGAATTTTGCTGCTGAAAGCGACAATTTCGTTGACTTTTGATATTTGAATTTGCAATATTAAAATTAGCAAAATAGCATCATCGAATAAACAAGACTGAAACTATATAATAAATACCTCCAATATTGCAAACATTTCTTAACGCCTCTCCGCTTTGACTTGCAACCCCCAAATAATCACCCATAAACTTGCGCATACTAATCAAACTGAATCGTCGTCGTTCTTTACGTCCAGCCAAAACCTGATGTCCATAGTCACGTAATTGGACATACACGATTTGATCCTTGTTCTTCTTCCAGCATCGTTGGATACGCCTGGCGCACTCATGCTTGTAGCGAACGTAGTTGCGATATGCACGTTGAATTCGCATCGCCATATTGTGCCAATAACGATCACGAAGATGTTCCAAAGCCCAAATCTAAATAAATTTCGAAAAAGCCTATATATAGATTGCTTGCATAATATTTTTATAATAGGATGCGTACAGATCCCAAAAATGTGAAATTGAAAGTTACCGTTTCGGGATGCCTTATGAAGACTTTAGTCACGCCCATTTGCCATTCTTCAGTGTCTATGCCAGTGTCTTTGAGGATTCTTTCGGTGCCCGAATTTGGATCGCCTTGCCATATATATTCACCGGCATACGACGTCTTTCCAGATAATAGATAAAATCTATCGATTATTCACGAATTTTTTGCAAGGTATTGAAATTATTTTCTAAGTTTATCGAAATTATTAAAAGAGAATTGAAACGTCATCAGTATAATGTTCGTCTTACCTTTCTAAAAACTTTTCAAACGTCTGGCGATAAGCAAAACCTGCACGTCGAACTCTGATATTCTCATTGAGACCTAAATATTTTATTTGGTGAAGTACCATTTTCTCATCATATTCAGACGGACTTTTATTTTGATTAGGTTTTATGGTTCGGATATATGACGGTTGGGATTGCATCAAATTATTTACGAGGGCATTGGCCGAAAGCTGGAATAAATTATAAATTAATCACTTGTATTTATCTATGAGCATGTTTAAAAAATCAATAAATGCCTTTATTTTATCACTAGCAGTAGGTGGACGTTTCTTCGAGTCACGATCAACTTGATGTGGGAACAATTGCTGCAGAAAATCATTGTTACTTGATGCAACCAATTCTAACATATCTTTAACGAGCTGATCTTTATTTTTATCTGTCATCCCACTTATATTATACAATACTTCACCAGCATAATGTTTCACGAGGAATTTGCTACCACGAGTCTCGAAATGAGGATTAGACGATAAGGAACCTAGACGTTGAACAAATGAACTATCAGCGGCTTCAGAATCGGCATGTGCTGTAGCGCAAGCATCATTCAACGCGGCAAAAATTCCCGGAGGCCGTTTTTCTTCAATCAGATCACAGACAACCTTGTTATTAAAGAAATTAATCGGTGTCCATTTAATCTTTTCCCGAACATATTCTTCTTGTTCTGTTTTTAAGGTTAACTCGATAAAGATTTGTTGCAACTTTTCGTTGACATAATTGATACACAATTGTTCGAAACTGTTCTCGTCAAAGATTTCAAATCCGTATATATCGAGGACACCAATAAGATATGAGGACTCATGTCGTTCTTGCATTGCGGAATTTATACGTTCCACGATCCATTCAAACAGATTATTATATATAGCCTTGGAAAGGGCGTCTCGTACAGCCGATGCCTATGTTAATAAATGAATTTATTGAATGTAAAAATCTCATTAATTTCATAATTAATACACTATACGTATTCTAAATTTATTTTAAGTGTGATATTAAAAATTAATACCTGAACTGGATTTAGTAGTACATTAATTACTGAGCCTCGACGACCACCACGTTGTGTCTCAATAACACGACTTGTTAAAACCTATATATGTTACACAATAAATAAAAGTAAATTGATAGAAATTTATCGCTATTAAAAATTTCTTACCTTCATCAAATTTTCATGCTCAACTTCCATTATTACAGATATTAAATTTGTGACTTAAATGAAAGGGTTTATCATTATCAGTTTTACGAACAAAAATACATGGTTAATGATAGCAATGAACTCCTCAAATAAGGAAATAAGAATCTTTATAGAAGCTATACACACCATCTTCGTCACTAATATACGCATTCCCATTATCATCCTCTTCAAACTGCACATTACCCAACCATAGAATAATAGCAAGCATTCGAAATATATCATCTTGTTCTCCTTTCGATATGCCAATCACATTCATCGCATTCTAAAAGAAAATATTAATGTAAATTTGATTTTTTAAAAATAGATATTATTTATACTAAACAATTTTTAGAAATTTACAATAGTGTCCGAAAAGTCTTGCATGTCATCGATACCATCAACATCCAAACATCCGCTTCTGCTTGTGTATAAGTAGCTTTCGGGCCCTTGTAGGTAAAATTGTTCTGATCACCGTATTTAAGGATATGGTGCTTTATATTATTAAGTGATTATAATAAATTATAGAAACACAAGGTTAAAAATATTATTTACCTTCATATTCTGCGGGTCTTGCTTTTGTAAATTGATAAAATATATGAAAATTTCTCTCATTTTCAATCTGGCCGACAACACGGCCCTTTATAGTAATAAAACCGTTGTAAGTTACTAGAAAGAACTAAAATAATTCATCTATATTGAGAGAGAGATATATATATATATACACACACCTTTTCCAATAAATAGTTTGTAATCTTGGCACCGACCGGCTCCGCTTGATAATTGAATTGAATTTCCAAATATTTACCCTATAAAGAAATACATTATTAATAATTTATCGAAGGACTTCAGATACAATGTAAGAAATATTATAGAAGAATCTCTGCATAAATCAGACATACGTGACGACTAGAATTGTTATTTCGAAGTGTCTTTGCACATCCGAAACTTTCTAACAGAGGATTTGTGGCGAGTACCATATTTTTGATTTCTTGAATTGATGATGTGCCACTCCCGCCACTGACAGTAGCAATATATTGCATGATCTATTTTTTATTAATAAAAATCTGACTTTAATTATGAAATAAATTAAAAAGTAAGACAATAAACATAATTAATACATACTCTTTTTGCAGCCTCTGTTAAGTGGTTAACAAACGATAAGATTAAAAACACGAAAAAATTAAAAACCTAAACTTATGTTAAATTAATACCAGTTTTCCCAGCTCCCGATTCGCCACTATTAAAAGAGACTTATAGTAAGAAAATTGAACCAATATAAAACACGTTATACAAATAACGTACCTAATAATAATACATTGATTTTCTTTATAGCTATTCATATTATAATATGCTGACTCTGCTACTGCATACACGTGCGGCGGCATCTACAAATACAACAGTTTTATCATTAAATTTCTTAAAACGAGAGAGAATTAAGGAAATGTGATCAAAAAATTTTTACCTCTAGTCTATTTTTTCCTGTATAACTATGTAACACTTCATCTGTATAAATTCCAAGATCTTTGAAAGGGTTGACACTGATCAAAACGTGTCCAATATAGGTCTTTGATTTTTTTAAAAAAAATAATGATAGTAGAGAATTCAACAATTAATTTTGAAATGAATAGTGACCTTTAAAATTTAATCATGACACGTCTTAAAAAGAACAGTGGTAGTAAACCTAACTATCAAACACCAATATTTTTTGAATCTGATAGAAACAATGAATTTTAGAATCGCAATTACTGCAGCTACTTACATATATCTCTCCATTCCCAAATCGTTTTTTCAAATTTTCATTTATTGCCTCATTGTTGACTTTGCTAAGCATAGTCATATCAGACACCCCAACTTGCTTCTTTTTGAAGCCTTCTTTCCAGTCTGCCTTTCCTATCTTTTTAGCTTTATTATTATCTTGTTTTTTTGACGGTGCCTATAAATTTACATCAATAACGGCAAAAAATTGTGTTAGCGATCTAATCTGAACCAATAAAAGTCAAAAAAATCATTACGAAATTACCATCCTGAAGAATCTATAAATAATCTAAATAATCTTTAAATAATCTTTTCCCTATTTATAAAAGTAAACGATCAAAAGAAAGAATAGAGAAGAATGCGGCGCCCAGCAAAAAATTTGCCGAGATATTAAAAATGCGCTCTTGGCAAAATACAATATCTCGAAATAAAGTTGTGCCTTTTTTGTCTTTCTTGACTGCAGCCGTACTACGCGATAAAGAATTTCTTTTCTGTATCGGCACAGATCTCGACGATTCATCATTGGATGATGATGCTGATGATACTTTTGGTAAAATTGTAGGTTTTGGTGCTACAACAGGAGCTTTTCGTGTAGCATTTGTGTTTTTTACAGGAGGTGGTATTTTACGGCCTGATGCTATTGTAGTAATGGCACTGCTGCTTTCTTCTGAAGATTGCTTCGCAGATTTTCTTGCTTCTAGTTCTAATTTCCACGCGGGTACACCACCACCAGCAGCAGTGGAACTTTGTGTTAATCCTGGCAATACTGAAATTCCTTTCTTCTCCTTAATAAGAGATTTTGGTTCTTCACGAGTATTATTATCGTCATCATTGTCGTCATCAACGATTTCTGGTGACGTGGCACGTGTATCTTCTGTTGGAGTGATTGGCGGAAGTGGGCGTCGTGACGGTAGGGTGGGAGGAGGTGGTGGAGTCTGTTCAACGATTTCTTCCAAATAATTACTGGGTACCCATCCTTGTTTACCGTCTTTTTTCGCTAGCCACCATCCATTATCATCTTTTTCAACTATCTGAAGAATATCATCTTTAACAAATGACAGTTCCCCAGAATCGGTGCTATTAAAGTCATAAATAGCTTTAAAAGTGGGGTGAGCAGGTTTTGGAGGGGGTGGCGGGGTTTTTGGGGGTGGAGGTGGCGGAAGTCTTCCAGGTGGAGATTGTACTTGAGAGTTGGGTGACTTAATATTAACAGAACTTCGAGTCGATGGACTACGAGCCGGTTTGACTGATTCGACAATGGATGGAGGTCTATTGATGGTAGGCGCTTTTGGTTTTGTAGGATTGCCCGCTGTCGGTTTTGTCACATTAGTTTTTATTGTCGATGTTGACGTTGTTGATATTGTTGATGCTGGTTTTCTTACAGGCTTTTTTGAGTTTGTTGAAGTTGAAGATGGATTGCTAGATTTTAATAATTTTCCGGATGTAATGGGTCGTGGGGGAGGATCTTTGCGTGGACACGGGGGGTCAGATAAACTATTTGGCGGTTCACCACTCGGCACCGAGACTGTATGGCTCTTATAAACATCGTCCTTTTTAATAGTCTCATCTTTGACGAACTTTATTTGCGCCGTCTTATTTAATTTTTTCGTAAACTCAATCTGATTTTCTATCTTAACCGTGATTCTCGCTTGCGCGGTTCGTTGTAAAAGATGCACCACAAATTCCGTCTTGAAATAACACGAGAATATCGGATCACCAAGCTCTTTTGTGGGATTGTTGAGGTGTAGTACTACCCAATCGTCGCGCAGATTAGAGAGACCGATACCTGTTATAGTGTTCAACGGTATCATTCTTTCAACGTTCATTTTGAGTAGCTGTTTTTCCAGAGTCGAGATTACTATGTATATGTTTTTTTCAGTCTTTTGTTGTAAATCAATTAAATTCAATTAGTCAATTATTAAGTTAAAATTTAGAGATGACGTATGAAAAATATCATTGACGTTACCAACCAATACAAGTTGTCGAGGACTTGGTTTACTGGAACGACCAAGACGTGACACTAAAAGTTGAATTTTGCTGCTGAAAGCGACAATTTCGTTGACTTTTGATATTTGAATTTGCAATATTAAAATTAGCAAAATAGCATCATCGAATAAACAAGACTGAAACTATATAATAAATACCTCCAATATTGCAAACATTTCTTAACGCCTCTCCGCTTTGACTTGCAACCCCCAAATAATCACCCATAAACTTGCGCATACTAATCAAACTGAATCGTCGTCGTTCTTTACGTCCAGCCAAAACCTGATGTCCATAGTCACGTAATTGGACATACACGATTTGATCCTTGTTCTTCTTCCAGCATCGTTGGATACGCCTGGCGCACTCATGCTTGTAGCGAACGTAGTTGCGATATGCACGTTGAATTCGCATCGCCATATTGTGCCAATAACGATCACGAAGATGTTCCAAAGCCCAAATCTAAATAAATTTCGAAAAAGCCTATATATAGATTGCTTGCATAATATTTTTATAATAGGATGCGTACAGATCCCAAAAATGTGAAATTGAAAGTTACCGTTTCGGGATGCCTTATGAAGACTTTAGTCACGCCCATTTGCCATTCTTCAGTGTCTATGCCAGTGTCTTTGAGGATTCTTTCGGTGCCCGAATTTGGATCGCCTTGCCATATATATTCACCGGCATACGACGTCTTTCCAGATAATAGATAAAATCTATCGATTATTCACGAATTTTTTGCAAGGTATTGAAATTATTTTCTAAGTTTATCGAAATTATTAAAAGAGAATTGAAACGTCATCAGTATAATGTTCGTCTTACCTTTCTAAAAACTTTTCAAACGTCTGGCGATAAGCAAAACCTGCACGTCGAACTCTGATATTCTCATTGAGACCTAAATATTTTATTTGGTGAAGTACCATTTTCTCATCATATTCAGACGGACTTTTATTTTGATTAGGTTTTATGGTTCGGATATATGACGGTTGGGATTGCATCAAATTATTTACGAGGGCATTGGCCGAAAGCTGGAATAAATTATAAATTAATCACTTGTATTTATCTATGAGCATGTTTAAAAAATCAATAAATGCCTTTATTTTATCACTAGCAGTAGGTGGACGTTTCTTCGAGTCACGATCAACTTGATGTGGGAACAATTGCTGCAGAAAATCATTGTTACTTGATGCAACCAATTCTAACATATCTTTAACGAGCTGATCTTTATTTTTATCTGTCATCCCACTTATATTATACAATACTTCACCAGCATAATGTTTCACGAGGAATTTGCTACCACGAGTCTCGAAATGAGGATTAGACGATAAGGAACCTAGACGTTGAACAAATGAACTATCAGCGGCTTCAGAATCGGCATGTGCTGTAGCGCAAGCATCATTCAACGCGGCAAAAATTCCCGGAGGCCGTTTTTCTTCAATCAGATCACAGACAACCTTGTTATTAAAGAAATTAATCGGTGTCCATTTAATCTTTTCCCGAACATATTCTTCTTGTTCTGTTTTTAAGGTTAACTCGATAAAGATTTGTTGCAACTTTTCGTTGACATAATTGATACACAATTGTTCGAAACTGTTCTCGTCAAAGATTTCAAATCCGTATATATCGAGGACACCAATAAGATATGAGGACTCATGTCGTTCTTGCATTGCGGAATTTATACGTTCCACGATCCATTCAAACAGATTATTATATATAGCCTTGGAAAGGGCGTCTCGTACAGCCGATGCCTATGTTAATAAATGAATTTATTGAATGTAAAAATCTCATTAATTTCATAATTAATACACTATACGTATTCTAAATTTATTTTAAGTGTGATATTAAAAATTAATACCTGAACTGGATTTAGTAGTACATTAATTACTGAGCCTCGACGACCACCACGTTGTGTCTCAATAACACGACTTGTTAAAACCTATATATGTTACACAATAAATAAAAGTAAATTGATAGAAATTTATCGCTATTAAAAATTTCTTACCTTCATCAAATTTTCATGCTCAACTTCCATTATTACAGATATTAAATTTGTGACTTAAATGAAAGGGTTTATCATTATCAGTTTTACGAACAAAAATACATGGTTAATGATAGCAATGAACTCCTCAAATAAGGAAATAAGAATCTTTATAGAAGCTATACACACCATCTTCGTCACTAATATACGCATTCCCATTATCATCCTCTTCAAACTGCACATTACCCAACCATAGAATAATAGCAAGCATTCGAAATATATCATCTTGTTCTCCTTTCGATATGCCAATCACATTCATCGCATTCTAAAAGAAAATATTAATGTAAATTTGATTTTTTAAAAATAGATATTATTTATACTAAACAATTTTTAGAAATTTACAATAGTGTCCGAAAAGTCTTGCATGTCATCGATACCATCAACATCCAAACATCCGCTTCTGCTTGTGTATAAGTAGCTTTCGGGCCCTTGTAGGTAAAATTGTTCTGATCACCGTATTTAAGGATATGGTGCTTTATATTATTAAGTGATTATAATAAATTATAGAAACACAAGGTTAAAAATATTATTTACCTTCATATTCTGCGGGTCTTGCTTTTGTAAATTGATAAAATATATGAAAATTTCTCTCATTTTCAATCTGGCCGACAACACGGCCCTTTATAGTAATAAAACCGTTGTAAGTTACTAGAAAGAACTAAAATAATTCATCTATATTGAGAGAGAGATATATATATATATACACACACCTTTTCCAATAAATAGTTTGTAATCTTGGCACCGACCGGCTCCGCTTGATAATTGAATTGAATTTCCAAATATTTACCCTATAAAGAAATACATTATTAATAATTTATCGAAGGACTTCAGATACAATGTAAGAAATATTATAGAAGAATCTCTGCATAAATCAGACATACGTGACGACTAGAATTGTTATTTCGAAGTGTCTTTGCACATCCGAAACTTTCTAACAGAGGATTTGTGGCGAGTACCATATTTTTGATTTCTTGAATTGATGATGTGCCACTCCCGCCACTGACAGTAGCAATATATTGCATGATCTATTTTTTATTAATAAAAATCTGACTTTAATTATGAAATAAATTAAAAAGTAAGACAATAAACATAATTAATACATACTCTTTTTGCAGCCTCTGTTAAGTGGTTAACAAACGATAAGATTAAAAACACGAAAAAATTAAAAACCTAAACTTATGTTAAATTAATACCAGTTTTCCCAGCTCCCGATTCGCCACTATTAAAAGAGACTTATAGTAAGAAAATTGAACCAATATAAAACACGTTATACAAATAACGTACCTAATAATAATACATTGATTTTCTTTATAGCTATTCATATTATAATATGCTGACTCTGCTACTGCATACACGTGCGGCGGCATCTACAAATACAACAGTTTTATCATTAAATTTCTTAAAACGAGAGAGAATTAAGGAAATGTGATCAAAAAATTTTTACCTCTAGTCTATTTTTTCCTGTATAACTATGTAACACTTCATCTGTATAAATTCCAAGATCTTTGAAAGGGTTGACACTGATCAAAACGTGTCCAATATAGGTCTTTGATTTTTTTAAAAAAAATAATGATAGTAGAGAATTCAACAATTAATTTTGAAATGAATAGTGACCTTTAAAATTTAATCATGACACGTCTTAAAAAGAACAGTGGTAGTAAACCTAACTATCAAACACCAATATTTTTTGAATCTGATAGAAACAATGAATTTTAGAATCGCAATTACTGCAGCTACTTACATATATCTCTCCATTCCCAAATCGTTTTTTCAAATTTTCATTTATTGCCTCATTGTTGACTTTGCTAAGCATAGTCATATCAGACACCCCAACTTGCTTCTTTTTGAAGCCTTCTTTCCAGTCTGCCTTTCCTATCTTTTTAGCTTTATTATTATCTTGTTTTTTTGACGGTGCCTATAAATTTACATCAATAACGGCAAAAAATTGTGTTAGCGATCTAATCTGAACCAATAAAAGTCAAAAAAATCATTACGAAATTACCATCCTGAAGAATCTATAAATAATCTAAATAATCTTTAAATAATCTTTTCCCTATTTATAAAAGTAAACGATCAAAAGAAAGAATAGAGAAGAATGCGGCGCCCAGCAAAAAATTTGCCGAGATATTAAAAATGCGCTCTTGGCAAAATACAATATCTCGAAATAAAGTTGTGCCTTTTTTGTCTTTCTTGACTTTCGTGGTGTTACAAAAGTTATCAATAGTTTGTATTAAAAAAAATTAGCTGCAGATTGATATATCGCGTCATTTGCTGCAGCTATTCTTTCTATCAAATTTTTTTTTACAATTAATCAATCAGGAGGCTTAGTCCACACTGTGTGGTATTATATATTTTCTTATGCGTGTTTTTGTAAAAGGTCTGCAGCAGTATAAACGCCTTTACAATACCTCAACAACCACTCTCACCTCGAGAAGATATGGACAGCCCACTCCCATGACACATCCTCATCTACTTAAACGTGGCGAATGTTAGTATTTGTTCCTTAGTCGCGTGTGTGTGTAGTCTACTCTTTTGTGTGATTAATAAACAAGACGACGTATGTTGCTTTAATGTCGTTAAAGTATCTTATCTTCGCAGTGACTCCTGGAATTTCTGCAATAGAATATGAACTTCGACGAACGCGTCTAATGAAAAGCTTTCCATATAATAGTGTTGCCGTATCACTGGGATACAGAACACGTTATATGTCAAATAAAGTATTGTTCGTATATTTTTTTGCGTCATTGGAAAACATGTTTTTGAGATTCGCTCTAATTAAAGTTTAATTATGGCGGATTGGTTGATTCGTCAGATCAGATTAAATAGACTATTGTGAAAATGGATAAAATAATTTGCTTGATCTGTTCAATTCAATATGTTTGATTTTACCACGCTTATTAGATTTTCGAATCACTCATTCATTTATTCATTCGTTCATTCAATATAGCTACCTTTTTCATCAAAATACAGATTTCTTCTATTTATGTGGTAAGAGCAAAATAATTGAAGATTACACTAATCTTTTTGAAAGCTACTGATAACACATTAATGATGTTGTTATTTGAAGGTTTCAATGAGCCTGATGCAGCTATGATATTAGGTAAAAATAATATTTCTTTTCACAAATATAATCTCTCATTATATGAATAATCTGTAAAACACTAAGCTTATTATATTCAGAAAAAAATGATAGTCCCCGTGGCTATAAAATGACGATGTTTGTGTTGCCAAAAAATCAAGATGATGAGATGTGGGATGGCACTCGAACAGGAGTGCAAGGCGCTATTGATATTTTCGGAGCGGACGAGGTAAAAACGAATTTTCACCCGTTAAATTATTGAAATAAAAATTGATCAATTACGATTATATTGGTTTAGGCGATAGACTCGGCTAAATTCGTATCAAACCTCAGAGAGATTGTACAATCATACAAGAAAGTATTTATAGATTTACCTCCGACAACCAGCATTCTTTCACCTGATGCCGCTCAAAAGATTTTCCGAAATAATGGTATTCCGATTTTCCCCTCATTTTTCGCGTCTCGGTTCAAAACTTTACGCGAACAATTCTACCCTTTAATATCCCACTATGGCATGTCACGTTTCATTGGAAAATTCCCATTCTTACATAAAGTTAAAGAATTTAAACCGTTGAGTCGGATAATACAACAGTTGAGAATTATAAAAAGCGATGCCGAAATAAAGCTAATGCGAGAAGCTGGCGAGATTACTGGGAAAGCGTTTATCGAGGTATTATCAATATTTACGAAAAACTTAATCTTTTATACTTATATAATTGTATTTATGGTATTGTTTTGTTTTTTTAATAGACAATGAAATTTACAAAGCCGGAAATGACTGAACATCATTTGCATGCAAAGTTAGATTATGAGTGTCGAATACGTGGTGCGGAACTTTTGGGATACGTACCCGTTATCGCAAGTGGAGTGAATGCATTGACACTACACTATGTGAATAATGATATGCCATTACGGTTTGTAAATATTTTATTATTACGTTTTTTTTGTTCGAGATAACGATGATTGAGATTAAATTTGTCAATACAGATATGGTGATTTAGTATTGGTGGATGCAGGATGCGTGAGTAAAACAATGGATTGCTATGTGTATTGCTACGATATTGTTCATGCGATTTTTAATTTGATATGTAGGAATACCATGGTTATGTAAGTGATGTCACACGTACCTGGCCTATAAATGGTAAATTCAGTTTGCCACAACGCGAATTATATGAAGCCGTGTTGAAAGTGAATAAAAGCTGTATCAAGGTATCATACAATATATTTTAGAACATAAATATTAATTCAAAAAATTTACATAAATTAATTTAAATTAATTTAATTCATATTTATGGTAGCTTTGCACTGAACAGCAAAACATCTCGTTGAATGGTATTCATGATGTATCTGTGAAGCTTATGAGAGAAGAGTTAATAAACCTTGGATTCAAAGTTAACGAAGGGGTTTGTATTTCAATCATATAATATTTATAAATTATATGGCAATAAAATTAAACATTGCTCGATAGGAAGTAGACCGAGTGCTATATCCCCACCATGTAGGCCACTATCTTGGTCTGGATGTGCATGACACTCATGACTTGGATCGCTCAAGACGACTTAAAGCTGGAATGGTTGTAACAATAGGTAAATCCTTAATTATACATATAGCAATTCTTTGCTACTTTATTATTATTAATATTCAATAATATGGTTAATATATATTGACTTAGAGCCAGGATTATATATTCCCTGTCTCAATTCATTTCCGAAACAATATCATGGGATAGGAATTCGTATCGAGGATAACGTGTTAATTGGCGAAAAAGATCCTGTTGTTTTAAGTGTCACTGCTCCCAAAGAGATTGTCGATATTGAATATTGCATGAATAGTTGATCATTTAGAGCTATTTTTTGATATTTGTCATTAATGATGTAGATTATTTAGAGGAAAAAATTGCTGGTAAATTCTTTTTTTAAATCAAATTCTATGATTGACGAATATATGGTTCTCAATGCACAATTTTTTCACACTAATTCGAATTGTTTAATAGTAACTAGAATAATAAGTTTGATCGAAAGTATTTGCATGTTACAACCAAACAAAGTATTCTGTCAGAAATAGTAGATATTCTATATTATTTTCGATCATTCTGAATTATGATTGATTAATTATTATTTGAATGTTTGTCTAGTTTCTAATGCCAACCTTAATTTTAAATGCTGAAATTTAGTATTTTTAAATAAAAAAATCCTAAAGTTATGTAAAATCTGGCTTTTAGTTTTATAAAATTATATATATAGGTTTTACAGTTTATTTAAATAAAATTTGAATCAGTTTGGATTAGATAATTTTTTCTCTTTATAAAAAATCAAGAGAAAAATCACAATTTCGAGTTCTTGAAAATATATTATAATTTTCGAAATAAATCTGAACAAATTAGCAAAAATAAGAAATAAAATAATTCTTGAATAATTAAATCAAATTTAGTCATATATTAAGATATAAAAGACAAGAACTAAACTTTTATTAGATTTGGTTTGATAAACTATAAGATATTTAATTTTAAAATAAATATATCAAATTAAATTAATTTTTTTTAAAATTTAAAAAAAGAATTTACCAGCAATTTTTT